GTTTGCCTGTCTTAGGTATTTCATGTGCGTGATAACAAGTGTTTGGGTTTTGCATCTGGCCTATTTCACTCAGTGTCTTATTTCCAAGATGCACCCACATTGCAGCTGGGTCAGAGTGGGATTTCTTTACTATGGTTGAGTAATACTCCATCATGTATATAAACCATGTTTTGTTTGTTCGTAATTACCGTGGAGTTGAACCCAGACTAAACCCCCTGCCATCTCTAGTTGCTTCTGACTCCTAACAACCCCACTGGATGGAGTAGAATGGGTCTGTAGGGTTTCCAGGGCAGTAAACCTTCACAGAAGCCAACTCTTCTCAGGCCATCCTCCTCCTGTGCAGTGGCTGCTGGATTCGACCTGCTGGCTCTATAACCAGCACCTTAGCCTTTCGGTGCCACCAGGGCTCCTTGAAGTCACGTGGAAACTATTTCATGAATGCCAGTGCAACCACAGCTCCACGAGGAGGGGGTACCTTACCCGGTCCGGGGGACTGTGGTTTGACCCCTGTGTGGACACGCTGTCAGCCACACACAGCGTGAGCAGCTCCTGTTCTGAGGACAGAGCCCAGGTTTAAAGACCCTGGACATGGCCCCTGAGCACAGGCCAGCAGACAGCTTCATCTGCTCCTCTAGGCCCACTGGGTGGTTCTGACCCCCGCGCTTCTCCTGGACTCTCTTACTGTGGAGCGCACACCTCGGCCTGCCCTGCCCTACTCTAGGTTTTGTAAAACTCAGCTCCGCCATCGATTCTTTTCTGAATGTGTGTGTGTGTGTGTGTGTGTGTGTGTGTGTGTGTGTGTGTCCGTCCGTCCGTCCCTCCCTGTGTCATGTCGGGTTCCCGCTGCATCTGATGTGTCCCATCACATTTTGGGCTGACCACAGAAAATCTCAGAGAATTTGCACGCAGGTGAGCACCTGGCAGGACTCGGTGGTTGCTTTTGAAGTGAGTGAATGACTATGTTGGCTTTTATTTAGAGAAGAGATTAGTAATGACATGCTCTCAACTGCATCAACAACTCTTCAGGGCTGAAAGAGGGAGTTCCTGTAGCCTGGTGGTAAGGAGCTGCGCTGCCGACCCAGAGAGGCATAGGGTTCAAATCCTCCAGCTGCTCCTTGGGAGAATGATGGGCAGTCTCCTGAGTGTTTGCTCCTCAGAAAACCTCCTGGAGGGTCGGCTCTATCTGTTCCGTCTCACTGGCAAATAATAACAGCAGCAGTGTCATAAATACAGACTCTAAACATCCCTTCCTAATACTCGCAGATGAGCTCTGGGTGAGGGGTGTGTGCGCGCGCGCACGTGTGTTTGTGAGAGAAAAAGAGACAGAGATAGATCTCGGCAGACGCCTCCTGAGTGATTTACAGCCTCCAAAACCCTTTTGCGGGTCCACTGTGAGGTGAGACAGCCTGGACAGCAGTGAGGAGGAGGAGACGGTATTTTCTCGACTGATGCTGCTGGTGTTGCCGTGCTCATTCCTGTAACCCAGACCTCGTCCTCACTTGATCCTCCCAGCCCTGACACGCAGTGAAGCTTCAGATAACCCGGACGCTCCGGGAAGCTTCCTTGCCTCTCAGCTGTCTGAAACTGACATCCAGCCCTGCTGCAGTCAGCACTGTGGATTTTCCTAGCACAAGATTTCACCAGTGACCTGAATAACCACTAACAGTACTCTTTGTTTGCTTATTTTCTGGTTTAGTGGGGTTTGGGGGTGGTGTTTTCTTGAGTTTTCTCTTAATCTAACCATTTCTGTTTCTTATAAAAAGCAAACCTGCCAGCATGCCTTATGCCTGCTTTCCCTTCGTTTTCCTCAGAGCCCTGGAAACGAACAGATACAACCACATCACAGCTACTTACTTCTTGCTCGCTGAAAGGATCCTGAGGGAAAAGCAAGAGAAAGAAATACAGACGCGGTCGGCCAGCCCGAGCAACATCAAGGCCCAGTTTAGGTGAGAAAAAAAACCTTCACTGATTTTAGTAAATTAACGTTTTGAAATAGCTGGTTTATGTATTTTTTTTAAATACTTCCTAACTCTGGGGTGAGAGTTGGGTGATTGTGGCCTATTGGGGGATCCTCACATGTGGGTTCTTGTCGTCTAGGAGGGCGTTGGCTCCTTTGTCACCAGGTGTCACCTTGTTCCCTCAGGTTTGGTGGGAGGAGTCGGGGCAGCTGGTGGGGGAAGCACTGCCCAGCGTCAGAGCCGAGTGTGCCAACTGTTCTTATTAAGGCTCTTCAGTATTTCATCTCAGGATGCGGCTCGGTTACTTAAAGTAATCACACCTTGACTGTTCTGAGGATGCCCATTCAGCAGTGTGGGTCAGAATTGACCAGGCAGAGGGAAGGTGCCCTAGCGGGCAGGCACTACACTGTGAGGGGGTGACGTCGGAAGTTAGCGAGCTCCGTGAGGGCCTTCCTCGTAGAGCCACGTGACAGTGTGGAGTCCGGGAGAAAGACATAAGCATTTAGATCCCTTTCTAATCTGAACTCTGGGGACAGTCTTTGGGAATTGTCTGCAGATGGCAGAGAATCTTCTAGACTGCCCAGGGGAACTGGGGGTGCACGGCTGGAACACCCTGGGCAGGGTTAGGACAGCTGGTAGATGGCACCAGGTAGTTCTGGAATGAAGATTACAACACTGAAGCCCTGCCTTAGGCTGGCTGTGTGAGATGTGCTCACACGCTGGCAGCAGTCACACTTAGAGCCACTTCAGGGGGCTTTGCTGCTTCGCTTCAACACGGGATGTTTAAAAGCAGGTTTATTCCAGTGCCAGGCATTCTCAGGGGACTTGCATGGAATAACTATAGTGGTTACTCTCCATGCAGTGATTGAAGGTAGATTTTTGTTCTTCATTTATTATGAGAAGTGTGTGATGTCCTGGTTTTCTGGGGTTGCACGCCCTTGGGAGCTCCATGGGTCCCCCCAGTGCAGGATGAAAACCACACGTGGTTGGGCTGCAGTTATAGGACCTTGTAACATTCTCAGGAGCTGATCTCAGTACAAGCTTGCGCCCAGCATCCTCTGAGAGAGACCATTGAGTCAGCAACCACAGTGCAGTCAGACAGCATTGTCCTCAAGCCTGTGTGATTTCTGGTTTCTGACCCTCTCTGTCTCTTAACAGCACCTGCATCACTGAGTCACTGTGGTGAACTGAGCTGCACCTGCTTAGTCTCTCTCGGCCTGGCTGGGGCTGCAGGGCAGTGTGAGGGCCTTTGGACTTGGGGTCCTTGTTAGTGATCTCTGCTGCGCTAAGCCCTGGCTTTTTCACAGAGTTGGGGTTGTGGGGGTGACTGACTGTATCCCATGTGGGGGACTTGGACTTGCTCATTTGTCAAGCTCTGATGACTGGGTCTCGGTGATAAGAACCATCTCTTGAGGGCGGTCTGTCACACGGCGGCTGCACAGATGCAGGGTTCCTGGGTCTTGCTCTGGGAGTGGGTGTGAGTTTGAGGTTGTCATTTAAGAAGGGGAGGGTGATAAGAGCCTGCCTCGCAGCTCTGCAGTGCCACAGACATGAAGACACGCCTCCTTCCCAGGATTTCCTGTCTGCCGGTGGCCTTTGGGGAGCACGTGTGCACCTGTCAGGAGCGAGTCTGCCGAGTGACGTTCCCCGGGAGCCTCAGGCTCATGGGGTGGAATGTGTGGGTTTGTGGCTGACTTGTTGAGAGACACTTCTTGATTTCTGAAAAGCTGTTAGCAAGCAGTGATTCTTGTAAAGGTCTCACTGCTTCCTGGAGAGAGAGGACGAAGCTCTGAGTTCAGAGGAAGGTGTCCAAATACAGGCTCTTGGGGCTTTTAAAGTTGCCGATTGAACTGGATTTGACTGTGAGCCTGGCGGAATTGACGTGAACGTGGCAGCTGTCATGTCTCGGGCATCAGAGCAGCGCTGTGTGTGCTCACCCTCCGGGTTGACCGTGAGAGGACGGGGCAGGATTCCAGTGCGCACGGCGGCGGCTCCTGGACTCAAACGGGGCCAGAGCCAGAGACCAGCATTGCCCCTACGCGGGGTGACACGTATTTACAAACAAAACAAACCTTCTTTAGCTACCAAGCTATGTTCTTATCACTTAATGTGATTCCAGATTCAGAGGTAGAGTCAGTTTAAACGACAGTGATGTTTGCTTTTGTGGTGGGCTTCTTAAACATACTTGTTAATGCTTAGCTTCATAAATATACTTTTACAGTTTGGGAAGGAGAGCTTTCTGTCCACCAGCGCACACTGACCTTTCTCCATCTAGAATGTTTACATCTATTAAAATGGTCCCATTCAGGGAGCTCTGGTGGCCTAGTGGTAAGATGTTGTACTGCAGTCCTGAAGGCATGTGGTTCAAATCCACCAGATGCTCTGGTGGAGAAGGAGGGGCAATCTCCTTCTGTGCCTGTCATATCTGATTCGACAAGAAATAAAAAAAAAATTTTTTTAAGTTCCCATTTGTTTTTGACACGCTTACACTATCTTGTACAAATGAGAAAAAAAAACACGTTTCTGGTGAATTTCAGCAGCAGCACAATCTGAGGTGTGACCTGACCCCAAGGACAGAATGCCGGTGAGTGCTGACTTTATGAAACATTCTTGGTAGTGAGGCTTCCAGCTGGACCGTGGGGCGTTCTCGTCCCCCAGGACGGCGCTGGCGGATCAGCATTTGTCCAGGAAGCCAGGGCCACACTGTGTCCCGGCCACCGCTGGCCCTCTGTCCCCACTTGCCCCTGCTCCCACGATGCCGGCTGGGTTGGCCTCTTGGAGAGTCTGTGGATTTTGCCCTTGGAGCTTTCGGGAATCGCCTGCTGAGCTTCTGCAGTGTTGACGTGGCTTTTTCTCTTTCTGATCTGTTCCACAGGCAGTCATGGCCGACCAAGATCGACGTGCCCCAGGACCTGGAGGATGACCTCACGGCCACCCCTCTGTCCCACGCCACCGTCCCTCAGTCTCCCGCCCGGGCCGCGGACAGTGTCCTCAACGGGCACCGGAGCAAAGGCCTGTGCGACCCGGCCAAGAAGGAGGAGCTGCCGGAGCTGGGCGGCCCGGCGCTGACCGCGGTGCCCGCCACCGGCCTCAAGCCCACGGGCAGCGGGCGCAAGTGCCTGTTCCGGGTGGAGGAGGACGAGGAGGAGGACGAGGAGGACAGGAAGCCCATGTCGCTGTCCACCCAGGTGGTCCTGCGCCGCAAGCCCTCCGTCACCAACCGGCTGACCTCCCGCAAGAGCGCGCCGGTCCTCAACCAGATCTTCGAGGAGGGCGAGTCGGACGACGAGTTTGACATGGATGAGAACCTGCCGCCCAAGCTGAGCCGCCTCAAGATGAACATCGCGTCCCCGGGCACCGTGCACAAGCGCTACCACCGGCGGAAGAGCCAGGGCCGCGGCTCCAGCTGCAGCAGCTCCGAGACCAGCGACGACGACTCCGAGAGCCGCCGGCGCCTCGACAAGGACGGCGGCTTCTCCTACTCGTGGCACCGGCGGGACAGCAGCGAGGGCCCTCCGGGCAGCGAGGGTGACGGCGGCGGCGGCCAGGGCAAGCCGAGCCCCGGCGGTGGCGGC